CAAAAGTGTGACATGTCTCGTCGGGGTATATCGTCGAGAATAAAAAAAAAAAAAAAAAAAAAGTTTTAAAGCACCGTAATACGGCAATTCTCTCGTTGGCCACTCGATACAGCCCCGCCGTTTCACTCTCCACGAGAGGCCCGGGTCCGCGATTACTTAATCAAGATCGTTATCCTCCCTTTCATGCTAGACGGTCCTCCGCAACGTGCCGTTTGAATACGAAATTACCGCTGGTAATTTTTCTTTCGCACTCTCTTTCTTTTCTACGTGCTATTTTTTAATAGCATAAAGTTCGTCGTACCTCATTCGTCCTCCTCTTCGCGTCACACACGTTCAAGTCTCACACAAAACGCGCTCTCGTCAACAAACACAAGTCTTCGATGCGCGACAATTTGATCGAATATTTTGTTAACACATTAAACATGCTTCGAATTGAAGAGAAACGAGTTTTTTTCCGGTAAAATTGATCGATCACTATCGAAAATGTTTTAACTACACTTTTTTTTTGCGCGCGCGCGCGCGCAAAGTGTGCGCGAGATTTTGTTTTTTTTTCCGCGCTCGTCGCTTTTTTCTGTTGCAAAATAGCATTTTTATTTCTTCAAGTTCAAAATCTCGCGAAACGAATTTCCTCGCGCGGAAATTTCGGAACAAATGAGGGGGAAAAAAAAAACAATCGGATTTCCACCGAGGTCAATGGCGATCAATCAAAGTACGTAACGTACACAACCGCATTACCGAAATGCCACAATCACGGGCTTTGAATTGCAAAAATATATATCCCGCTATTTTCGCGTGTTTCGAGAGTCGTTCTTTTCGTGACGCGCTTCACATAGCAGCAGTGTGTGTGTGCGTGTGCGTGCCGTTGTCGCCAACATATCATTTGCCAACGTAGCGTGTCCAACTATAGTATATATTTATGCGTTATCAAGATGAAAAAACGAACCGATGTTCATTGGAGCATGTTTTATGAACCTAAATGTGAAATCGCGTGTTTCTCTTTATTTNTTTTNTNTTTTTTTTTTTTTTTTTTTTTTTTCACATACAAATCTCGATTTCGTACATTTACGCGTAAAAACGTCTCTTTTTCGCGTTCATTAAACATATACGTTTGGGAAAAACTGCCGAAATCGCATCGCGGCGGCGGTTACGATTTCAATTCTCGACGAAAAGTATCAGCGCACGGAGTGCGTTTAAATCAAACATCGCCGTCATTGCGATGCTGATTGCTATCGGAAAATTTCGTGCGATCGATCTCTCGCTAACGCTAAAAATACAAGGCTTCAATATCCGGCTAACGCCGGAGTTTTTCCTCTTTCGTACACGGAATCCGACGTCAAATGTACGTACGGCAATCCATCCAGCTGTCCGATACCGACCCGATATTATCCCGTCACGAGCCAATTCTTTCTTTCTCTCTTTTCTATCTATCTATCTATCTCTCTCTCTCTCTCTCTCTCATTTTCTTTCTCTCATTTTCTCTCCCTTCCGGAAAGCCTCCTTCATCCGCGCGGCTTCTTATTAATTCCACGGAATCTGGAACACCAGACGGCGAGTCCGGCGGGACTTTAATTATGGAGTATCGCGGTATCGTTTCCCCGTTTTCACAAAGGGAAAACGTAGGTATCATAAAAGAAAGACCGAAAAGTTTATATCTCACGCGAGGGGCGCACATCGATCGGTGCTACATCGCCAAGATAGAGAAGAGCTCGAGTGTTCTCTCTCTCTCTCTCTCTCTCTCTCTCTCTCTCTCTCTCTCTCTCTCTCTCTCTCTCTCTCTCGTAGATATTTAACGATCCCGTGAGAAATCGAACAAGCAAACGAGCTCGTCTTATAGATCGTTTGGGTCTAGTAAGACTTATCGTACGGCCGTGTCGCTCGTGTTATTGAACCCGCGACAAAGTGCAACGAACAAGCCGCCGCCGCCGCCGTCGACGTCGTCGTCGTCGTCGTTGTCGTCGACGCGCGATGACGTACTTACATAGTGCTTCTCTTCGCGTCAAGCGGTCGTAGTTTATGTATGTACGAATATCGCGTTCACTGTGTCGCACATACATTAGCGACAACGCGGAAAGCAAAACGACAAGACTTTCCACCCGTCGATAGACCGTGCAAAGTCCGTTCGAACGCACTCGCTAAGGTTTCCGAGTTATACAATCGTTCGGGGAGTTTTTGCTATATTAAACCGCGCGTGACAGGCGCGAATAGCGTGCGATGCGCGATTGAAAAAAAAAAAATATATAAAGAACGATCTCGAGAGCGGGATGTCACTCGAGCGAAGGAGAAGAGCCGTTAGCGTTTCATAAGGATAACGACGATCAACGAGAAAAATTGACCGACGCCGCGGTGGCGTCTCTCTCTTTCTTTCTCTCTTCAAAGGAAATTAATTAGAATGATTAATCGCGGACGATTAATCACCAGACCGTGCGCTGGAGGAGTGAACATTTAATCGAGAGTAATGAGATCGCGACCCCTTTTTCGCTCGGCATTTTTACTTCGCCGGCCGCGGTGATAACGGCTAATGAATTATATACCCGCAATTAGAAATATAATAATATCGCGCCCTCGCGCGATATTCTCTTTCCCGCTCCGGTAAATTAAAAAATAAAATATTTTTCAAAAGAACTCGACGTTCGTATTACGTTGCTAGTAAAAATGTACAAACTACTTTCTATCGCACACGCATGCACATTGCACACACACACACACACACACACACACACACACACACACACACACACACAGCGTGCTGCGTATATTTGACAAAGAAGAATAAACACTTATGTAGAGACAGAATAAATTCGTGTGTGTGTGTATCGAAAAAAAAAAAAAAATCAAAACGAGACGAAGAAAATATCGTCTCTCTGAGCGAGATTTGCTCCGCTCTACGTGTGTAATTCCATTTAGGGAACGCGGAATCATTTTATATAACGCGTATATATATTTTAACATTTTATTGATTGTGTCAGGAATATCCAGTTTTTGTTTGAAAAACCTACTTGAGGTTTGAATAACTTACCTTGTCTAAATATTTCACTTTCAAGAAATTCGTTTTCTCGTTTCATTTATTTCAGACGAGAGTTTCAACGTGAATAAATTTGTTAATTTTAGACAAACTCCCGGCGCTTTTCGCTTCGATATACTTTCGCGATGTCACTCATAAACGTAATTGTTTCTAGCGTTTAAAGCGAAGTTTGTCAAAAATGTATTCAATACACGAAGCTATTTGTAAAAACATGAAATGTGGATTGTGTAAAATGATTCACAGATAAACCTTTTTGTCTTTTACTGATGATGTATGTTCGATATATTTGAGATATATAAAACTGCTGTATGTACATATTAGGTTCACTTAAGTCCATTAAATGTTTAACTTGATCGAGAGAGACATTTTTATGAGAGAGCTGTACTTTCGAATTCTCAGTGTCAGCTGCATCGTGACAATAGAACATCGCGACGATGCATTCTGGCAAATTGCCTACAAACGACTGAATTAAATATATTGCTACATCGATAGAGAGTTTTGTCAATATCTTCGTTGAAAAAAAAAAACAAAAAAAAACATATAGCTTATGTAAAACAATTTGCGACTCAGCGATGATTTGATGAAGAATACGAAACAAAAGTTTGATCACAAAGCTTCGTCGTGTGTGAGAGATTCTTTACATAAATTAACGTTCTGATTTTTACAAGCAACTCGAATCGAGTGAAATCCATCTGAGAAGATAAAAAAAACTTTTGTTCAGTATTCTCTCTTGAAGAAATAAAAAAAAAATCTTAACATTTTATTGTACTGATAATTAGTCGTTTTCCTTAATTATGTTTCGAGTCAATAATCTGGCACAACTTAAATTACAAAAGGAAAAAATCTGATCAAAAAAAGCAAAAACCGCCTCGCGAATATTACATTAATTGTTCGTAACGCTCGTGTAACAACGAAGAGTGGGTAAATATTCTATAAGAGTATACATTGTTCACGCACTTTTATTGTATATATACACGCACACACACACACACACACGCACACATTCGTTGTTATTTAAACACAACTCGTACTATATTGCTGTTTTATTATCGATGTTATAAATTAAGTTTGTATTCATTTATTTTTCGAAAGCTCGTGATTTTATCTATGCGTAATTACGAAACAAACAGCATTTTTAATCTTACACTCATACATACATACACACACGCACACGCACACACACACATTCGCACGTACCAGGCCGTGTTCCAACTCGCATCGATCGTGCAAACACACACAACTATCGCGTCGCTCAAAATTACATCTGCATTATTTAAACCGATTATTGAATTCAATAAACCGTTCCGGCAAAAGAGAGAAAGAGAGGATTAATATGTGTACGAATACGTATGAACTGGATCACACAGCCTGGTTCTCATAATTACAAGAACAGAGAGAACTGGTTGCATTATTGTTGTGCAGCCATCGCAAGCGCAGGTACATTTGGTAGCGAGAACGTCGAGTTTAATCCTAAATAGCGAGCCCTTGATAAACACTCGTCGACATTTTCATCAATCGATGTAAAATTAAAATCGGTTGGATCATCGAAACAAATGTGTTCGGCGCAAGATCTATTTTTTTTTTTTTTTTTTTGTTTCTAAAACTTACATATCGATAAAGTGTACAAATAGCAAGTAAGAAAGAAACGATGATATATTCGATATGTATTCGATAAACAAATAATGTGAATTGTCAAAATATGTAGAAAAATGAAAAAAAAAAAAACTTTCTCGGGCGCACGATAAACTTTTTCCCTGAACTCGTCGCATATCGTCTGAAAATACGTAAAATGACGAGAAAAGACGCACTGTTCTCCACACAGCTTCTACCATTTAGAATTAAACACCTATCGCACAAGATCCGTGGTCACACGTGGGACGAGAGTCGGTCGTTCGGATGTCGGGTAGCCTGACGATTTGGAACACGGCCTCGTACGGTCACTGCCTGTACACCCCGGCGTTGTTGAGGAGCCACTCACCTGCAACCCGCTTACACGGCTCCTGCTTCTTCATCGGCGTCCTCGTCGGCAGAACGTCGCGCGCGTCCGCGGTATCGATCGGATGTTTTACGACGACGACGTCTATATGATCGTTATCGACCGGCGTTGTCGTTGCTGTCGTTGTTGCCGCCGCCGCCGCCGCCGCCGCCGCCGCCGTAGTCGTCGTCGTCGTCGTCATCGTCGTCGTTGTTGTAGCGACGGCGGGTCTTAAATCGCGAGCGTCTCCAGGTATTTCCACGATCCGCAACCCTCGCCCCGACTCCGCATCCGCTATCGTGATGCGCCGCTCCTGGAGTAAGCAAGCGCTCGATACCAGGTCCCATTGGCGGAGTTTTTCTCGATCTAGCTCGAACGACGTCGCGGACATTCGCACGTCCGGAATCGAGTGAGCCGGGGGAAGGTTGCCGTCCTCTAAAAAATGATCCGTGGGCTTTCGGTAGGCCTCGTTCTGCGGATCCCATACGTAACCGCTCGCGCCGATTCGTTCAACCGACAGAGTTTCGTACGCGTCGTCGTTCTCCTCCATCGATGATTCGCGCGTTGCGTGACGATCGTGATCCTTGTTGGTTCTGCGCTTGACACGCGGTCGCTCCGCGCAGGACTCGTCCGCGCAGTTGTCACGGCGTAAAGCGACGCTGTCATTAACGTAGGTCGCCCCGCGGGTGATTCTGCCCCGCGACTTGCTGTCCCCGGGTCTCCCGGGCAACGGCGGACTATCCAAATTATCCAAAGATCTGGCGTTCCGCAAACTCACCCTCCTCAAACTCTCGCACCACAGGCTGTCCTGTTCCCAGGGGTCTTCGGCATTGAAATGGCTATTAATCGCGACGTCATGATTATCGGATGACGGAAGATTCTGCGGTGCCGTCTCGACCGGATTGGTCGTCGCAGAGACGGTCGTGGTTGCCACCACCGCCGCCGCGCGATTAGCTCGGTTCCGCTGCTCAACTAAATTTTGCAAGCCGACATCGTCGAGTAATCCCTCGAGAGATCTCGAGCGACGATGAGACGTTTGTGTGACGTGCATCGGTTCGGTGTTGTCGATACTCCCCGGATCAACGGACTTATCCCTTAAGCCGTGGGGATACAAGTTTCTGGCCTCGGGTAGCGACACATCCGGCAACGGATCGGTGGATTTTACTCGACGCAGCGTGTCGGCCTCGTAAAAGTTTCGCTTGTCAACGAGAGCGGCCTTGTTGTCGCCCAGCAATTGGCAAGTCGTTCTTCTCAATTCAGCGGCGATACGTCTGGCCTCTTCTATGTCGTCCACCTGAATCTGTCGTGGCATTTGTCGCGCGATCGGATTCACTATGCGACCGATGTCGTTCCGCTTGTTCAAACCGGTCGCGGCGTCGTCTCTCTGATTATTGAGCTGGGGTAGTCGCGAGGTATGGCCGATCGACGGTTTGGTCAGTTCCGCGTCCGCGCTGTTGACACTAGCCTGGAGATCGGAATAGTAATAGGGCGCGCCCGACTGATCGCTCTGAACGCGCTGTTCGCCGGCGTTTGGCAAATACGACGGCTGCAAAATGGATTTGCTCGCGGCCTGCACCGCCGGCATCGGATAATGACTCGAATCCTGACTTGAGGTCGATCGATGATTCGGCAATGGCGTGTGACGCACGCACGTGTCGTGACTGGCGGATCTCGAGTGATTCGGGAATCTTCGATCGGGATACGCGTTCTGCAACATACTCGTCGTCAGATTCGCGTTCCCGTGATTCACCGACGACACGGACGCGCTGATGGGAGAGTGCATGGAAGACTGCGCGCTTGCGGGTCTCTGGCAGGCCATGGACGTTGAGATCGACGGCGCGGCCGACGCGTTCGAGTAACTGGATTCTCTGCTGTGAGAAGCAGGCAACACGCCGCTACCTTGCGACGTATTTTGAATCCTGTGAATACTCGTGTCGCGCGGCGATTCGCTGTCGGCTCGAATTGCCGGCGAATTGCGAAGCGGCGAGAAGCTCGCGATGTTCTCGTAATGCACGTCACCGGTAAACGACTGAGAATGCTGATGAGCCGGCGGCAAATCGGAGACTCTCATGGATGGCAAACTACTCGCCGACCCCGTTTTGCTCTTAGCGTAACCGAACGGTCGGTCAAGATTGTTGGTCATCAATTTCATCTTTCTCGATAGATCCTGCGGACACGTGGTTTTCTGCAGCTTGTCGACCACCAGCATGTTCTCGTTGAATCCGTATATACTGTTGTAACTTAAATCCTTCGCGTATAGATCCACATTGAACGCGTCTCTGGCCTGCAACTCCTCCAGATATCGATCGAGATCGATGCTGGCACCGTCGAAGCGACTTCCCAACGATTCCAGTTCGTCCAGACTGTCCAGAACTTCGCAAACCTCATCGCTGACCGGTCTTCTCTTCAGTTGTCTGTGACGAGCTTCCTCTTCCGGATTTCTCAGTTCTGCCGAGTCGCTGCCAGACGCGCTCTCCAGCGATATTCTGCTGTCTCTGAAAGTAGAACTGATGGTCGCGTCGGAGAATCTCGACGGCGGTCTGTGCGTCTCCACTTGGCCCATTGGTTTGTTCCAAGACTTCGGCGAATCGCGGTTCAACGTGTTGTTGTCCTTCGTCGTGGCCATTTGCGGCGAGACTTTTTTTATCTCCAGAGACTCCTGCATCTCCAACGAGTCCAAGTCGTCCAACGGCGGTGGAGAGGTCGGAATCGGCGGAGGGGAGACCAATTCGCTGTCCGACGAATCGTGCAACTCCGCGATCATGTTGCGACTCGCGCCCAGATAATACGAGGCCGGTCGGAAGGTGTCGGACAGACTGAATCGCGGATGACGCGGCGCGTCTATGGAGTCCAGATCCTTGGACGACTCGTCGTCCGCGTCGGAACTGTCGGATTTGAGCGCCGTCAGAATGTCGGGCAGATCGCTCCTTGGATGCGACGGATTTTCGTTGTTTTTCTTCTTCGACGCTTTACCGCTATTTTCTTCGTCTTTCTCGGACAACGGACTCACTTCCATGTACACCGGCTCCATTTTACTGTCCGATACGCAAACAAACTCGTAGTGAGACGTGTCCAACGTGGAATAGTCGCCGGAATCGTGTTTCCTAACGTCTTTGTCGGGCGCTAAAAGAGAATGATTCATTCCGTTCTGTGACATCTCCACGTACGAACTTTCCTCGTGATCCAGGTTGGCAAACAAACTCTCCATTAATTTGGGATTCGGTCTGTCTTCGCTGTTCGGATCTAATATAGCCTTTCTGGGGCTCATGGGAAGATAGTGATCCTCGCTGTTGGTATCGTCTTGTTTCAAAGTGGGATCACTGTCGCCGGAGAATTGATCGCCATGTGTCACCAAAGATTCCGTCACGCTCGTTCTGGCGCAGTTGGAACTCGAGATTATATCCAGATCGGCGGATGGAACGTACTGTTCGCTCAGATTGTCCTCCAAAGTCGTCAGATTATTTTGTCTCGGAGACTCGACGGAAGTTTTTCGAACGGCATCCGTGTACAGAATTTCCGAAGTGTACAGAGCATCGGCTTCGTTCTGTTCAACGTCTTCTTTTTCAACAAACGTCTCGTTATTTCTATCCCGACGATCCGAATTATTCTCGAAGTCATATCGCGCGGTTTCACCGTCGCTGTAATCCGCGCGCAGTTTCGCAGATTCCTGTCGCTTATCGCACTTCTGCCGATTGATCTGCTGCGATTTCCGCTCGAAATCCGCCAGAAGATCCTTGACCGATTTGTTACTGTCGGTCGAGGCTTGTTTGGCATGACCTTCCTCCACGGTCTTGTGCTTGCTATTGCTCTCGGTGATACTGCCCGGTTCGCCCAGAGCGAAGCTACGTATGACGGATGAGGATTTGTTCGCGCAATCGAGTTTCGAGATGTGAGCTTCGGTCGCCTGCGTCGGCGACACTTTCAGCGGTTCCTGCATAGACAATACCTCTTTGACAGGACTCGCGCCGTCCATGTTCATCTCGAAAGACCGGATTCTGCACTGCACCAGATTCATGGTCTCGGGCTTTTCAATCTGCTCTTCGTCCTCCGTTTTCGACTGGCACGTTACTTTCTTGGGATTGATGTACTGATACGAGAACTCCTTGATGACTTTGCTCTCGTCTATACCGGGATCCCACTCGTCGTTGTCGTCCCTCGAGTCCCACTGCACGTTCTTCTGAACGTGCCACGATTCGTTCGTTCGGTAACCGTACAAATCCGATCTTGATGCGTTCTCGAGTTTGTCGGTTTGTTGCATACTGTCGTAATGTTGCTGATCGAAACCGTAAACGGTCGTCGGCGTCTTCAGGATTCCAAGCGGTTTTCTCGAGTTGGTTTTGTGCCTGGTATCCTCGTAGGTGAAATCCGATCTTCTCGACGACGACGATCGTCTGTGCGCCGATGTGGTGTACGCGTAGTCGTTTCTCATCAGCGGCGGAAAACTGACCTCGTCGTAACCCGCGTCCGGCGGTATGCTACCCGATGAGACATGCACACCCCCCAGATTTGCTTTACGAGTGTTATGCGTTTGCGACTGCGGCACCGTCTGATTAACGTTCGTGCGGCCACCGGTCCCGGGTAACGTGACATCCTGGACGGCCGACGCTGACCGATCGTCGCCGGCGTGCCGGGGGCTCCTTCCTGCATGCGAGGGTCTGCGCGTGCGCTTCCTCCGGATATCTCCCAGCTCTGATTCGTTCGTTACAAAACACAAAGACAGTGGAATACGTCCGTTACTTTACGAGTGTATGTATTTGTGTGTGGGTGTAGTTGTATATACGTGTGTGAGAAAGAGAAATAATCCTCTCATTTTTTTTTTTTTTACCCGTTCTCTACACCCAATTATATTAAGCCAACTCGCCACAACGGGATATCGAAGACAACGAATATCGAAAGATCACTGCACTGATTTAAACAACGACGCGCGAACACACGTTCGTTCTCGCATGCCAATTGTTACTAAATTCAAGAAACTTCTTATAATACTTCGTACATTTCGAAATATATCTCGTAAAAGAATTTTTTATCATCCGCGATCGTTTCGGCGTATCCACGGGGATGATGAAAATTCTCTTCGAAACTATCAATCGTTTTCACGATTCGATCGTGCAATAATCCCGATAATCCGCAAGACTTTGTTAATCGTAGATACAATAGCGAACACGCGAGCTGGAAGGGAGATGCGATCGCATAATTGCACCAACTACGACAGGTAGTGTGTTAAGTTAGTGAAATTCCTTGGCATGCCATGCTTTTTCAAGCCCCAACATGTATACACATCTTCTACGGCAATCCGGTCGGTGTGTTAAGTCGCACAGAGAATACCGATGTGCGATCGATATATCGCTTTAAGACAGTTAAGATTTTTGTGTTAGATCGTTCCCATTCACCAGTCACAGAGCCCAGACCCAACAGCAGCAGATAGAAGGAGCCCCGCGCTAGGAGACGCTCGCAGCAGATATATACGTACGTGAGATTCTCAAAAAAAATTTCTTTTTCACGTTCCACATCACCATTTTACACACGTCACATATGCATGTACATATCGTCGAGAGAGAGTTTTCGTCTGTGATTTTTTTTTTTTCGCTCGACGATTAACATTCGTTAGACGTTTAACAAAAAAAAAAAAACAAAGAACAACAAAAACTACCAACTTTCAACCCATTTTCAACGTTCGCAAATTCGTGAACAATTCAGGCGTCTCGCATTAAATGCAGCATTATTGCATTCGTAATACACACTGGGTAAAAAATGCTCTCTCGTTAGGAAAACTACACCTTGTACACAAGTTTCGTTGATTAAAATTAACAAACATGCTGGCAATTTACGCGAACAAACGAGAGACCGATGTGTAAAATCGGACCCTGACGTTTACGCTTTTATGTATGTATATACATGAAGATATTTTAATTATGCAACGAAACACCATTCGCAAAATACTCGAGATTTTTACTCGTGCGTTCTCGTGAAAAAATGCCTCCGGGTTTTGCTTGTTTCTTTTTTTTTTTTTTTTATTTGCGAGCAAGTATATTATGCACATTGGAGTTTTCACCGGGGGTTAGCAATTATTACCATACGAACTATTGTTAGAAAATCTGGATTACTTTTTATTTTAGCGTGGAGAAGAAAGAACTATCTACTTTTGAGTATAATACCACACGTCGCAGTAGCCACACGACGCTTTCGAGGGACTCGCACGGCAATCGAAATATCCTTGGATTCTTATTTTTTTTCCGAAAGAAACTTGAAGTTCTTCTTTTTTTTTCCCATTAATCACTCCTTTTCAAAAATTTGTATAGTACGTGTACGTACACAATAGCGGTTCAAAAATTGTATGTTTATGTCGTTTCGAACGTAGCCGTCTCGAAGAGGTTGGACCACGGAGAAAAAAAAAAAAAAAAAAAAAAAAAAAAAAAAAAAAAAAAAAAAGATAAAGAAAGAAAAAAACATAAATGCACCTTTTCGATAAATATTTCGACCGGGGGGGTCCCTCGTTACGCAGGGGCGCGACGAAGCTACCACTTAAATGATAAGTTCAGGCAGACTGCAGTCCCTACCTTCGTCATCGCTGGAATAGCTGTTGTAACGTGGCACATTGACGGCGGTGCGGCGGCCGTCCGAGCTCTTGCTCCTGACATGCGAGCGATGCCCGTCCTCCCGCCTACGGGAGTGACGACCCTCCGCCACGGCGGCCTCGTGCGCTGCCAAATCCAGCAGCGCCTGTTGCTTGTAGTAACTCGAAAGATCATTTTGCGCCCTGCCCCGATTGGCCGAGCCGGATGGCTTTCGCGTCAGAGGTGATTGCAGCATGCGCTGCTTCCATTCCAGTAACCGCTTCATCGACTCTTCCCGCTAAAAGACGTATCCCGTGAATAAGTACAACACCTCTATTAGCTTTCTAACTAAACAAAAAAAAAAACCAATTGCTACGTTCCGCAGACTGAGAACGTCATCGGGCGATTAAAAAGAGCGGAACGATCGAAGTTGATTGTAGCCACGAAAAATTGTAAACAAGCGACTTCTTCTTCACGCTTCTTGCGTTGCGTTGTCGAAAAATGTTGAAAATATTTTCTTAATTTTAATTGTTAAAAATATTTTTTTAGTTTTTGAATTATTAATATTTGAACGAACTACGCACGTAATAACCTCGTGAATGTGGTGAAAGTAAAGAGAAAGATTCGAAACGACGTGCGAGGTAGAGTTATGCAGTTGGGTTTATCGTGAGTCATGCCTGTCAACCGGTGTATTACCAACGGTCTTGTATAACCTACGGCTATCGATCCTGAGAAACAACTCGCTCTCTTGACTCATCTCCAAGTTTTCCGGGACAAAGATAAAGAAAACAGATAGGCTAAAAGTATATTTTCAAAAATGTATTTCCAAAAAATATGTTTAACATTACTTTTTTATCATTAAGATAAAGTAGTGGATCAAACACCTATATCTCTCTAATTTTCTCAAGTTATAATTATTATATTCATAATGTATTCCGATTAAGATCCGGCATCTGTATTTAATTTATTTTTGTTATTGTTATTGTACACGCGGCTTGTATGCACAATCTGTCGATTTATTTTTTTTAATGTGCATTTGTTAAATTGTTTTCACAAATATGTACGAGACTAAATTGAAACTCTGTGATAGCAAACACAGCAGTTACTTTTTCGAATTTATAACTTTTTTGGTTTTTGCGGGTCGAAAAAGTTTTTCGAGATCTGACGCATCTCTAATGTATAAACTATCCGAATATCACGTGCGCACACAGCGCGTATGCAACAAATAAAAAATCTATACAACGCAAATAACAACGCGTGTAACAGGACAACAACGGGACGGGAATCACCTGTTTCTTGAAAAACAAAAATTTGTGACTTCACGAAAATCGGAAAAAAACGTTAGATGTTGTCGCTTACTTGCTGAATCTTGCGCTCGCCATCCCGTGAATCCTGCTCGGATGACCTCTCGGCGTAGTCGTCGTCGTCGAGATCGAGACCGGCTGGGTGTCGTGTCCTTGGCAGACGCGCAGACGCCGATCTACAGAATTGCTGCTCGTTCCACCGTCTGCCACCACCTGCGTGACCGGCGTGACACGTCTGAGCGATGTGAGTCCCGTGGGCACCGTGACCTCCCGCACGTCCCCACCCGTCATACTCGCCGCGCGATACTCTTCGAGGGATCGTGTTGTCCTCGCCGCCGTGCGTCAGCGCTTCACGGCCGTTCGCCTCGCAGCTCTTCTCGCGCAGAGATCTCCGCAGCTTCGGATCGACGCCCATTAACCTGGCTCAGAAAACAACGCTCGAGCGTACGCGTCTTTTTTTTTCCTCCGACTCGATAAGTCGCGCGATTGACATCTTTTGGTGCGAAACAAATCTCTCTTTCTTTATACTTTCTACAAAAAACAATCGAGAAAATTGAAAAAATATCTTCAAAAATCTTCATATGAAATTCAACGCGGATCTGATTTCAAATATTCGAGCGCGCTCTGAATTTTGCAAATACTTCTTCCAAACACGATCGCAGAGAAAGTCGAGTTTTCTGAAAATTCATCGAACATGAAAGTTCGAACAATTTCAGATGCGAACAACGTTTTCTCTTTCTCGACGTACGCGAAAACAACAATCTGATCTCTCGTCGGTCGCGGCCAACAACACACACACACACAGTTTTTTATTTACGCGCGATATTTCGAAATCGTCTGAACTCGGAAAAATGTCAAACAGGGCTCTTCTACTTCTCTCAACTCCGTTGCGGGTTAATTACTTATTCGGACGATGTACGGATGACTCACTCGGAATGTCTCTGCGTCAGCGACTGAGCGGGCATCGTGTGTTGCTGATGAACGTGATCCCGCTGCGTGCTGCGCCTCAGAACGGGACACGAGGAATCCGGCAATGTGGATATTCTACTCTCGTCGGTTTTGTCGCGAATACCCGGCGGTTTCGTCTGCATCGTGGGACGCGAGAGGGACTGATTCCTCTGTTGCTGGTAGTGCTGTGGCGTTTGGTGCAAGTACACAGCGGACTGCCGCATCTGCGCCGCGTATCTGAACACAAACACGCGGTCGTCAGATGATTTCTTCTCACAAAGGATTACTAATCGTTTTCCTCTTGCGCGCGCGTGTGTGTTTTTTTTTCTTTCTCTCGCACGGTATAAAATGTAGAAAGTAGATTTACGGGCCTGGCCGACTTACCTTTCCTCGGAGTAAAAGTAACCGTCGTTAGTCGCGTCCGACGGGTTGACTATATCTAAGCTGGATTTAGGCCTCTGCGGACGTCTTTGCTGATCCGGGGGTCTCTCGCACTGTGTGGGTTGTTGTTGCTGGGGTCGCCTAGCCGCCTCGTATTCCAAGAAGTCCGCGCTGTGCGGTCGCGGTGGCGGTTGAGTTCTGGATTGCCTCACCATCGACACTAAAAAGATTACGTATGACGCGCCGCTCGTTTTTGTATCATCGCGCGTCCGGGACTCTCTCCGGTCGGATTAAGGTGCCGCTCAATACTTTTTGTTACCGCGAGAAAACCAAAGAGCATAAAAAAAAACTTCATCGCGAGAAATGCGATGCTCAAAAGAAAAGAAATCAATCACGATCGATTATTATCGATTGTTATAACTGTTGTTCTTGCAATTTTTTATATTATCACTTTTAATTAATGCACGATAACATGTATTTATTTTTAGAGATAATTTTTGTTAAAATTTCTCACTGTTGTGTAATTGAAAAAGTGACATTCGAAAAAGAATAACACACACGAAATCTTTTGAATTTTCGTGAATGTGCGCGGCAGCTTACACGAAGGATTTCGAATATTTTCTTTTTTAATAATTTTCTTAATCTTTAATTTTGTTAATGATTTTCATAATCGATTTTCATATCCTTGCGTGAAAGTAATAACACGCACACACACCCGCACACAAAGTATAAAATATCAAAGCAACGTTATTGCTACTTTTTAACGAGTATTGTATTTTTAATCTCTCGTATTCTTAATGTAGCCTCGGATAAAGAAAACCCGGTTTGTTGTCGGAGATAAAAACATATAACGTTCGGATAATGTGTTTTCACCCTTTACCCTCGGGGTGAGAGAAACCGCGATGCTCGCCGCACTAATTACCTCGCGTCTTTGTATAAATAGCCGCGAGCGTAAGACGGAAACAGAAGTGCGCACAAAGACTCACGGTTGGCCGGCGCGACAGGCGAATGTTGCAGTTGCTGCTGCAGATGCTGCTGCTGCGCGTACACGGGGATGGGGATGGGAGCCGGGGACGCTCCCTTCGTGTAGCCCACAGGTCCTGCGGGTCTTTGATACAATTGCGGCGTGCCGTACACCTCCTCGTAATCGCCGTTGCCCCGGCTGCTGTTCCTCGGCTTCGCGCTGCGCCCGTACGTGTCCGGAGTCCTCCTCTCCGTCGGCTGACCGGTCTGACCGTAACAGTAATTCAAACCCGACTTGTCGATGCGCAGACTCTGCTGCGTAGCCTGAGTCATTCGCGTCCCGTAAATCGCGTTGCCTCTGTCGTAATCGGACATCGGACTCTTGCTGGTCACCGTGACGTCCGGCGATACCGGACTCTTCCGGTAATCCGGATCCGGCGACGGTGTCGAGTACTCGTTGGAACCGTCTGTCAGTCTTCTGGGTTTTGGCGGTGCGTTCGCGTAAATCGGCTGTCCGAATTTCCGTGGCATCGGCTGCACCGTTTGAATGTTGCCGGGATGCTGCAGCTGTTGGGATTGCTGCAACTGTTGCTGCTGCTGCTGCTGCGGTGATGATTGAATAACATGCTTGTGCGGATGCGACTGATGACTCGGAAGCGCGTTCTGATGCGACAGATGTTGATGAAGCAACGCCTGATGCTGATGCGAGTGACCCGATTGAAGTTGCTGCTGTTGCTGCTGCGACACCAGCAAGTGCGCGTATTGTTGCTGTTGCGGCTGAGAGGTGCTCGGCTGGCCGTACTGCGGCGAATGTTGCACCCATCCGTTCATCATCACGTGGCCGGAGTCGCTTGTGTGATTGTTGTTGGAATTGCCGTTGCTGTTGCTGCTGAGATTTGGGAACGAGGCGGTGTTGGCGCTGTTCGGGCTCGAATTGTTGTTGGACGCGTGACTTGGATCATCGCGCGATTGAAAACCGTGGAAGCCCGAGTCGCTGTCGTCGGCGCTTTGGTTCAGAATCGACGAGATCGACGAGACGCTGGGTCGTGCGCTCCGCTCGCCGTCCTGCTGCCCGGCTATTTCTATGACAACCGCAGCCTCGCCCGCGCCACTGGAAAATTTATAAAATTCAAAACATTTTATAATCTCTTTAGCACATCTTTCTCTCTTTCTCTCTCTCTCTCTCTCGTGCGTTTATCCTGGTTTCTTGTGTGTGTCCGTCAAACGTATTTAAATGAAAGAATAATTTTTCCAAGTCTTTCTTCAAGTTTTTTTTTTATCAATTTCACGTTTGAATTAAAATTCTTTATCGCGGTTGCACCGACTCTCGCGAAGAAAAGTTTACTTTGTAAATAAAAAGAATAATTCAGTCTTCACTTAGTTGGGCTCTCTGAAACTGCTGAAACGGGAAAAATCTACGTTTTTTTGCCACATTTTTTGGTTGTCTATATTGAATTTCCGCCAAAAACCCCGTGTACCAACCGGGTTCGCGGACCAACCCGTTCATTGTGTGCGCTACTACCCGTGTCGTTGCCGGATGGAGCGGTGCTAATGGACAAACGGAGCAGCGCGAGTCCGGTTCTCATCTCCACGCAGGCAACGGTATTTCGCGAGTCAAATAACTCCCAGGGAAACTAACTAACGAGTTGGTTAGTTACACCGCGATAACGCGCGAACGACAGATGCGCCGCGGCTACAGCGTCGGCGATACTTTTGCGTGCAAATAAACGCCCGGTGGTTGTCTCTCGTCCCAATTTCCCCCGTGGCGCATCAAAGAGATGTTCATCGCCACTACGTGTCGCAGTGTCGAGCTAATTTCGGGATCTTGGCATCGGATCTCTCTCTCGCGTTTCAGATGAAGTTTAACATTTCGCGATGTTGTCTCAAAACATTCGTCTTTTGAGAAAGACGTTGAGAGCAGCGTTAATACGTTTAAAGAGGGATATTCCATCTCTCCTGTGGGTTAATAAAAGCGAGTTTCGCGTCACGGCGAAACAAGATCAAACAGAGAACCGAAAAATGTGCATCGCTAACTCATCACAAGTACTGTATCCGCGCGAATCTGTTTTCAATGTTTGTTAGTTTTAGTATTTTTCAAATATTTAATACTCTTTAAAAGAACTCTTTAATAAATAAGAATGTTTTTTTTTTCTGTTTTATCGGAAAATATAATTTGAGAAAATTAACATTTTGATTGAGAATAACTAAAGTTACTTTTTGTTGAATTTTTCATTTAATTTTGCTTATTTAATTTTGTGCAATCGAGGTGTGTTTTTTATTTTTATTTTTTAATGTAATTTTCTAATTACAGAGATCCGAACGTAATTATATAAACTCACGGGTTGGGATCCTGCAAAAGTGTTGCCAGAGTCAGGGCGTTAACCCATTGATTCATGCTCTCGCGACTGTCGGCTGCGAAGTGGTAAGTCCTCATGTTCGCGTGTTCGGCCTTGAAGGCGAACTTCTTGTTGACTTTGTCCTCGGGTTTGCAGACCGTGACTCTGTACGAAGGTAGTAGTATCGAGCCTAACAGCTTCTCTTCTTCCGGGCCTGAAAATTCGTAATACATATTGTTGCATTTGCGTCTGCGCGTCTCGCAAAAAGACGGGAGAGGTTTCTCGGGTTTCTCGTCTCCTCTTAAACATTACATTCGAACGACGGCATCAATTTCACGTGGAAATAAGTCAGATTCGCTGTGAGAGCACTGCGGTCGCCCGGCGATATATTTCGGGAACGCTTTGAATTTTTGAACGCGAGGAAAACATTGCGCGCGTCGCAAACAGACGACGGTATAGATGATATAGATGTTTCCATTTGTCTTTCGTAATGAATAAAATTGCAATTTCACGATGCCACATGTGCGCGAATACTCGGTCAAATGCTAAAATATTGGCGGTGACATTCGGTCGTTTTATTTCTCCACATTCTCCGATATAGATTTAATAAATAATGCTGTTCGATGATACGATATTTTTACTTTCATACTTACTTATGTATTTTCTTCCTGACCTTTTGAAAAATATTTTTTTCATCACAGTTTTCTCTCTTTCTCTCTCTTCATCGCGATACGATCTAAACCTTGTAAAATGTTTGCGAGTTTACGCCATACATACTTTTGTGCGACTTTAAACATTTGCAAGAATAAACATTCGCGCGATTTTTCCCCGGTTTACAGTGGCATCGATCCCGAAGAGACACGAAATCGCTTCCACGGTGATGGAATAAAACGCGAAATTTTGAATGTATCGCACGCGCGCGCGCGTACATGTATGTATTTATTTATTTGGATTTGCGCAAATCTCGTCGAGCGAATTCTCTCGTTTTCGGACAAGCGGGAATGTATGTGCGAAATTAATTTCGCGAGCGAGCGGAGATTCGCCGAAGAGAGAGAGAGAGAGAGCAATAAACCAATTATAGAGATCGGAATTTTCAATAACTAATATAGTTGCTCTTTTATTGAAGTCGAATAGCTAGAAACGCAAGATGAACACACCGCGCTTGTTTCTCAAAAGTGCAAATTTGATTGGAACGCGAATTCGAGCGAATTCTATCGCGATATCAAAGCAATCAAGCGTTCAAAGTGAAATCTCGTGTCTGCGGCGGTTGAAACTTCAAAATAGTTTCGGTGATCACAACGGGAGATGTGTGTTTAACCGTAACACAACCGACTCTCCAAACTTTGCTCGAAAGAAAAACCAAATCTTGTCCTGGGGTTTCGCGCGATACTTCTTTTTCTTCAAAAAACCGAAAGCTTTAACGAACGATCAGATATTTCTTTCGCACGCGCCCCGATCGATTGGATTATACAATTTTCTGCGCAAGCACGTTGAAACAGAACTTTGTATTTCACAAACCAGTCTCGCGGATCGATCCTCGCGCAAAGAAGAGTTTGTTCGCCGGAGTATATTGAGTTCCGATGCTTTTGTACGCAAAGATATTGCCTCCTCCGAGAGTCTCGACAAGCCGCTAATTAGAGGACGGGTGTGTCTATCGAATCTAATTTAACGAAGTTTCGTCACGGAACAAACGACGCGTCGAACCGTGTTCCGCAAAACTTCTTCCGCGCAAACTTCATTCTCACAGCCGCCGTGGAAGGCAAAGTGCGATCGTCGACTCCGGGAGGGAGATGTATCTATGACGCGACGACACACGACGGCTCTCGCGACGATGTACCGCGAATCAAAGAGCGCCGGATGTAATTAACGCCACTAGTCGGATTAGAAGAGCAGCGACGCGTTTCAAGTAGACCGGAAATTGGTCGTTCGTGCGGCTCCTAAACGGAGCGGAGGACGGGGAGAGTTAAACTTCAATTGAGAAAGATAGAAAAGAGAGGAAGTGTTTTAAACTTGGCGAAACGCCAAGAATATCTTCGCGAAACTGGCGAATCCAGTGAAAAAGTTCGTAAATAGCGCGGATTTAGAATGAAAAACGTTCGAACAAAGTGACATTCTTGAATTTTATTTTCACCAGCAACTTTTATCGACCCCGCCGTTAATGAATTTATTATAAGTAATAAAATTTTCCCGCTATGTACTATTTGTACGCGCAACCCTCGTACGTTTCTCGAAAATAGATCTCTCTTGACGACAATTTGTGTCGCGCAATGCGTGTTATTTTATCAAAACGAATCAATTTTCCCAATCTAGAACATTGTATATATATCACTAATAATATCCATTTATTTATTAATATCTATTTATTTGTCGAGGCAATTAACCTTAATGTTCATCTAATTGTTTATTAATAGTTGTTCTAGGATAATTGATAATATAATAATTACACAGATTACGTAATATCAATTGCGATAATTATGCGGCAAATAAACGACGTTTAATCACCCGACGTTGAATTTGTGGGCTCGCAACACGTTAGAGCTTTCTGTTTCGGAAAAAAAAAACAAGAGAAACGGCGACGTGGTTGAAGTTTTCGCGAAGAAATTCGCGAAACTCACCTTTATAATAAAAGAGGCAGTACTCGGAGAGCACGAACCAACGTTTCTTCCACAGCATGAGACCCTCCGAACCCTGCTTGTGCAACCATCCTTGGAGCGCGACGGGGGCTGAGACGGGTCTCTTTGCGGCGGGCGAGCGCAGTCCTCCTTGAGGACCGCTTCGTCTACGCACCCCCGACACCGAGGCCGCCACCCCCGAGCTATCCTGTTTGCTACGTACCTGAACAGGCACGGCAGGCGGCGTGGTCGCCTGGACAATCTGCAAGAAGACGAACGTGCTTTTCCTTAGATTGAGATTAATGACCTCTTGTTCGTTAAGTAATTTCCGGAGGAATTGTCTCGACACACACACACACACACACACACAAATTTCTGCTTCGGGTTTAATTTTAATTATAAGAATGTTTTTAATATGAGAAATCTCCGAAGGAGAAAGATCGCGCGAGTGACGCGAAGGAGCTAATTAAATTTTCATCAAGGAAAATAGTTCATTACGAGAGAAATCTGCACGATAATTTCGAGGTGCGCTCATTAATTACTTATTTGATTTAAGAAGACGAGCAATGTAAGGCAGTAACCCGTAACGTAGAAGAAATGCGATCGAAGTGCATATACGTATAATAATAATAAAAACAATAAATAATAACTGATAAGTGATAATAATAATAAATAAATCAATAAACAATAATAAATCATTACTGAGCGCACGGTATAAAATACAATAACAAACTGATATATATCGCGCGTTTTTCGGATTATTACGGAAACACGTGATGTGTATGATTTTTTTACATGACGGACGCGTGTCACGACACGCGACACCGGGAGGAAGAGATGCGCACCGAGTGGATTGAAATATTTTCATCGGGATAGAAAGTGTGTAACGACGGTAATGCGATATATATCCCTCGCGCATGGAGACAAGACAGAAAGCCGGGGTGCAATAAATCCTCTGTGAAATTTGAAATCGTCTCTCTTCGGTCAGCACGCGACCGGAATCTCGGACACCTTTTATTCGCTTGCCTTCCTGAAATGCGAAACTGATCGAAAATCCGCTTTTCCGCTTTACCGGCATCGCGCGTCGGTCACGTTATCGCGAGAACTACTCGCCATCAGCGGCCGACGAAAATTTTTCCGTCGTGATCGGAACATCTATCCGATAATGAAAAGCCACGAGAACGAAAAAAAAAAAAAAGAAAAAAAAAGAAGAGGAAAAAAAACGAGAAAATCCACCGTTCGACGGGCGAGCGATCGACGGTTCGGAATCTCTGGGGGCCCGAAAATTCGCTTGCCGATCCACCGATAATTCCCTTGTCTCTTTTGTTACGCGTGGGAAGAGAACAAAAATCCGGACTGACATTTTACGAAAAAAGAAAAAATTGCTAAATAATTAATTGCCTGACAGACGTGTAAGCCGGGAATGCATATTCATCAACGACGGGCACGTGCTCGCTCCGGCGAAGCGTTCGGTCAGATTTAATCCTCCGAAGTAGAATACTCGCTGTATTATGCAGTCCGCGATCGATTTCTCCGCCTCCGTTCTTCCGTTCGTTCGATTTAAAAAATACACGTGCAAGAAAAAAAAGAGAAGCGCGCGCGTATCGGCACAAAAGATTCGAGAGGGTCGCGGAAACTCGCCGTTCTCTTGACGTGGAAATGAATAATTTATCGTTCGCCATCTCTCCATTTGCTTTTAACCGATTCTCTCTTCTCTCCACCGGAATTTTCAGCGACATTTCGCGACGCGGTATGTAACGACGCGCGTCAGCGGAGACAAAACCCGATTTTACGTACGGTACACGCAACAATGCCGCTCGCGTATTTTCCGATTAAATACTTGCGCGCGATCGTTACCGTGTTGCGATCGTGCGCGTTAACGTTTGTTAACGCTGTTCGCGAAAAATAAGGAAGGATAACATTTGCTTCTCGAAGATTAACATTTGCTCCTGGAAAACGGTTTGGGCGACATTAAAGAACGGAATCGATACACGCGGAAATTCTTTCCGTCAACACGAAGTTCTCCCCGCGGCAATGTTCTTCCGCGCGCCTCGTCGTCGAAAATGAAATGACAAAAGACGATAAATTATGCATGACACGTTTATTGAACGAACGTTCTTCATGGAGGAAAATTTAAAAAAAAAAAAAAAAAAAAAAAAACTCGACAACCGCAGTCGTCGTTTTACTCAGACGACGAGAGAACTGCGCAGATATTTGGCAGATCTTACGTTCGGGGGGAGAACTTCTTGTCGACATGTGAGATCGTAGATCTTATCTATAAGATAGGGGAGGCGCGAGCATAAAAACTCCTGGAAAGCGCGCGTTCCCCTCGGTTACGCGCGCAGTTTTTCCGCCAGAGAAATGCCGATTACACGGTCTGTATTTTTCACGGACGCAAAGTACCGCAAATGTCATTGGCAAAAAAAAAAAAAAAAAAAAAAAANAGGCGCGAGCATAAAAACTCCTGGAAAGCGCGCGTTCCCCTCGGTTACGCGCGCAGTTTTTCCGCCAGAGAAATGCCGATTACACGGTCTGTATTCTTAACTGCCGCAAAGTCCCGCAATTGTCTTCGGCAAAAAAAAAAAAAAAAAAAAAAAAAAGAAAAAACAAACCAGACGACTCACGCGCGCAAATAATGCGCGAAGTGCATTTCTAAATCGAAAAAAACCAGTCAGTCGCGAAATATTTAACAAATATTTAATGTGTTTTACGAATGAGAAATCAATATTTATTTTTTGAAGTTCTTCCGTCTCTTATAATCTCCTGAAGGAAAAATCAGAGAAAAGTTAGTTCTCCGCGTATCTCAGTTCTTCCGAGATGAAATTTCTCTGTTTGCGGAACTATCTCGACGGTACGAGATCTGCGTGAATGCATTCGATGTTTTTTTCTCGCACGATCGCGACGACTAACATCGCAGCGAGAAAGACGCAGCTGAGCAGAAGCACGCAACAAGCGTCGTCTGACTGTCCGGGTCTCGGTTCGCGAAATGTCGCGCTGTGCGAATTTTCGTCGCGAAAAAGCACCGGAAAGGGGAGTAGCCATTGAGTAATCCGTTAAATTACAGAAGCTGTGGGGCGCGCGGTTCGTCGACGAGGCGGAAACTAGCGGCCGCTAGGAGACGCGAAACTCGTCGTGCAGAGCACGCCGATCCCGGAGAGAAAACTTTGTTTCGCGGAATAGAAAAAAGAAAAAAACAGCCGAGAGAGACTCCGCTCTTGGCAAAAGTTTCCGTTTCTTTTCCTTTCTATTCCTTTTCTCTTTTCGCGCTGTTGAATTCAATCACGAGACGCGCGCGCGCGCGCGAGTTTGCATCACTCGCCATTAGTTCCAATCGTCACAAGCGTTAATTTCGAGCGATGCCTCTAATTGGGAGAGGGTAATTTCGATATTTCGCGCGCACCAACCTCCATCGTTCTCCCTCTCCGTGCACAAAGGTGCCGCGGGGTCGCGGCTGTGCAACTCATTAAACATTGCGGTTCCAAAACAGTAGGTAATAATCGATCGCGGGAGCGATTGTTATTTATGGCGAGATTCGTACGCTCCGTTCTAACCTGCCACACACTCGTCGTAAATTCAAACTCCCTCTCGTTGATATAAAATGGGTTAGATGTATATCTACGTAATTTCGCGCGCGCGCGCGTGCGGAAAGTGCAAACATATTTTTCAAGACTAGTGTGTAGGATAATATTTGAAGATCGATGGGAGAATATATTGGTGAGAGAAATTGCGTATTGCGCGCATGCAATCATTTTCACCTTTTTGTTGTCCATCCCGGGCGACGAGCTGGTCACCGGCGAGTCGAGCCTGTAACATAAAAAAAAGACAAACGATTGTTCAGAACATTTGTAATAATTATATAAATAAACGTCACGAATTATACACGTCGATATTTTATATTAAATTTATATTATTACGACGTGAAAACAAAATTACTTTTGCATATATTTTGTCATCCGTATAAATATTATTATTGTTATTTTAATATTATATTTCACATTACGACTTTTATATATTTCCATCAATTTTCGCGCTCGCTCGCTTTTTCACGCGATAATCTTCGCTCTATATTTTCCACATCGCGGGAACGCGCGCGCGCGAAAACTTCTTCTCTCGTCTATACACTTCCTCCTAAACTTCAACAATAATCCTTTAACGTGTCTGTCGAAGTACATCGTCACTTTACGCTCCCGCAACTTGCTGACGAATCTCGACCTCGTTTCTTCAGACAATGCGAACGACGACGGAGCGCGCGCGCCTCGGCGGCGTTTTTCGTCGTAAGGTCATCGAAAATTTATTGGCCACACTGGCGGAGACACCGGTCGATATTATTGCCTCGAAAAAAAAACAAAAAAAAAAAATGAAGATACTGATATGAAAGTTTCATTTGCGGAGTTTCCTGAAATACAAACATTTTTATCCAACAGCGAGCCGCGTATTGGAACAACGTAACGCGTGCCATGTGAAATGCACATTTTTTCCCTTAGAAAAATACCGGACGTCCATTCGGGTTATGAACGCGCATTCATTTCTCTCTCTCTCTCTCTCTCTCTCTCTCTCTAGCTCTATAAGCTTGAAAAAAATAAATAAATAAATAAAATAAATAAAACATTATATCGTTGCACGAACATTATATTGCGTTTTATCTTCCTCGTCTTTTTATCGCAATATGACTCTATGTTTATGAAAGAGAATCATATTTATTCATTAACGGGGAAATAAATTGTTTTCGTACCGGCGAGTTTTTAAAACGTTGAGATAAAATTATTCGTGCGAAATTATTGCCTCCGCAATTTCCGCCAAAAAAAAAACAAAAATCCAAAGAGCAATCGCGTCCTCCGTATCATATGCGACGAAAACGGATCGATGATTAAAAATAATTTTTAATAATGTAATTTCAATAATATTCCAACGGGAATCTCGCGCGCCGAACGCTCGGAAAGAAAAAGTCAATAACACACACACTACGCAAGTCGTAAAAACCGAGACGGAATACGCGCGCGCGCGCGCGAAGCGCATAACGCGCCGTCGCTTTCTATTACCCTGAGCTTTTGCACGTCGCGCGCGAAGTGCGATGTAGCTGCGCGACGTGACGCGCGAGGTTGCTCGTTCGGAAAGTCGCCTCGGTTAGTCGACGGAGATCGA